ATGCAGAGATATGGAAGCACGATCTCGTCACGAAGGTTTGTCCCACCCATCAGAGCCTCGTCACTGGCCTTGTAGAAACCATCGACCAAGAGATAGGGATCGCCGAACCAGCAGACCACAGGAAGGCGAAAGAAACCAACTTTGGCCCGTACTAGAAGACAGACCGCTCAGATCCCCTCAGATACGAACACAGTCGTATCCGATAGGTTTCGCTGAACCGTCATTTTCCCTTGGAACCCCACCGCCAGAAGAACCACCACTGCAGTGCTGCATTTGTGGGAGTAATATCCAGGTACAAATATAATAAAGACTTAAGAAACAGGCCTTTTCGAAAGTATAACAGAAAACGTACAGAATATAGCTTGAGCTAGAATGAGACTGAGTGGAAAATTGTCGCATGAAAGGAACTGTTGTGGCCTCCGTAGTAGCGAATCTCTACACTTAAACTAGTGTGTAGACGAATTTCAACCTCTTTGATTCTACTTTTTGTAGGATATCCAAAATTCCCGTGAAGTTTGGATGATGATTACAGAGATTATGAACAACTTAGGTTTAGAACAGCTTCGCGCCTTCATTGATGTAGTGAACAACTACGACCGTAGCGTTCTAAATACCATCCAGTTGCTCCAGACCACCTCATCTGATGAGATCGTTCAAGTCTTAATACCGTCCTTACAAAGATTTCATCTTACTGGAAGAAATTCAAGGTGTGTTTTTTGCCTACTGAACTTTGTGTTGCAACGCATTGGACGCAGTGACTTTGCAACGGAAATTAGAACAATTCGGGAAAGATTTATATGAGCTGTGGAAAGATTTATATGAGATTGGAAAGATTTATATGAGATTGGAAAGATGGAAAGATTTATATGAGCTTAAGCAAGCGACGTTTTGGACAACATGAACGTCACGTGTAGATGATAGAGAGGTTAAAGTTAGTTTTCCACTTCAATCGTACCGAAACGTATTTCTTTGTTTCCTGAGCGGTAGTGTGAAACTAATGACTTCGACACAAAAGAAAATGCTACGGTATGCCGATGCCTGGCTTCATTGTACACTTCCGCACCATTTCGCTTTCTTTAATTAAAGTCGGTTTTTGGTTTTCTGACCTCCATGCCAAAGCCATTACAACAATAGCTCACTGACCAACCGCGTGCTAGTGCTCAGATTACTTTGCCAAATTTTCTTTGTTGACCCACACAAACGAACTTGTACTTTGTCAATTTTTGCTATGACATGTATGTGCACAAGTTGATTGTTTTTATAAAAATTGACAAAGTTGCTTTAGTTTAATTCTCACTTTTTGTTTGTGTAATGTACTGTAGTGGACAGCATCATATACAGTGTGTATAAAAAAAACTACACAGTTGGAAAAAGTTCACTAAAGTAAGATGCGCGCGACATTTGCCAAAACTTTCAGTAAGCCTAGTATGTACTTTAACGTTCTCTGGTGCATCTAGCACTAAAATTATTTAAAATGTTAGCGTTTTTAAAATAGGAAAGCTGTTACTAAAAATCCCAAAAAAGGCCTTGCGCAAAAATTTTTTTATCGGAAACAAAATTTAATCACACAGAGTCAAAATATGGACTGTCTTGCACAAGCTATCAAAGTTTTAAGAAATTTGGTGCACGCGTAGGCCAACGCGAGATCTTCAAAGCCTGGATTTTCTCCCATTTTGTTAGTTCAAACGCGATTTCTTTGCATGATTTCAAATTAATTTTATGCATGCTCGGACGTTTGCATAAATTACAGTGCCCTCCTATGTTGAAGATTGATTTTTTTTGTAAATAAACACTGCATGTCAATAATTTCGTAAATAAACGCTGTTACTAACTCTTTTAGGACCTTTGGGAATTGGCTTGCGAATTTCGTACTGCAATTTATGCGGACGTCCGAGCATGCATAAAATTAATTTGAAATCATGCAAAGAAATCGCGTTTGAACTAATAAAATGGGAGAAAATCCAGGTTTTGAAGACCTACGCGTGCACCAAACTTCTTGAAACTTTGATAGCTTGTGCAAGACAGTCCATATTTTGACTCTGTGTGATTAAATCGTTTTGATTCTGATGAAAAATTTTTCTGCGCAAGGTCTTTTTTTTTTGGGGGGGGGGGGTTTG